TAAGTAATTAAAACAGACTTATAAGTAGTCATTTTGGAGGCCTGTTTCAATGCATGACATAAATGAAAAACACTTGTATCCATTGTCTATTAATGAATTCTCTCAAATAAATTAAAGCAAATTTATTTTTTAGTTAAGGGTGGTTATGGCCCTGCCATTACTTTGCATAAGAATAACCAGGTTAATGTTTTTTGAGCTTGCAGTTTTTGAAGCAGTTACATATCTATTACCTGTATGGTGACTGAATTAAAAATGTTTGATTTATACATGTGTTTACATATCTTAATGTTTAGGCATACAATACTGAAAATAGGTTATACTCACTCCTCCATTGCACCTGATCCCATCTGCTCCAAAATTTGTATTGTTTAATGGACTTTTGAGCTTGAATACTGTTCGTTATCTCCATATATTTCATTATATAAAATTATTTCAGATACACACTACTCACGTAATTTTTTTTGATTTCATGATACATTTAGTTTTCTGCAGTTGTGTAGTCAGAGTTACACAAGATTTGATCTTGAATATTGATGTAAATTTAGGCATATTAAAAGTGAATGAGATAAATTCAAATGGATCCAAAATTCTTAAATTATAACATTAGACAATTTAGTTAAAATAATCAAAATACATATATCCATAATTAGTTAAATAAACACGAGTGGTTTCTGTTCACTAATACTTCACTACCTTTGAAAAAAATTCATGGGATATAACCTAAATTAACTCGATGTATACATCTCTCTCTATTTGTATCCCTTTCTCAAGTCCAAGTCCAAAAACATTACAACTTCTTAAATACAAAAACATAAAAGAAAGGTCTAAAATTGTGAATTTTCGTAATGAACTTGAATTCAGACTTGTATTTAAAGTCGTAGATAAATTTCTCCAATTCAGATATATACTAGTATGTACATGTATGTATTAATTTAGAATAAAACATCATTACATTGAAATGTATGAACCGATGATTTTAATGTCTATTATAATCACTGTACAATTTAACTAACTTATTCGTACATTTTTTTTTTCCAGAATACCATCTACTCTCTCAATTAATCATCTCAAAAAATCAATAATCAATAAAGATAGATAGCTAGGGAATTGAATGCATGTATCTCCAATGACATTTATTAAGAAACTCTCTCTCTCTCTCTCTCTCTCTCCTGTGTAAAATTCCTTGTTTGCCTTTAGATCCGCAATTTCAAGTAATCAACAAAGCATGTTAATCAACACCTACACAAGTAAGGTACACAAAGACTGGTTACACAATAAAAACCAGGTACATACGTTATAAACAAATGGCTTTTTGATGATAAGTGATACAAGAAATTTATTGTAAATATTTCTTATTATATTTATATGTTTTAAAAGAAATGAAGATTACAATACATAAGACAATAAAAATCTGAACATTTAATGTAGATGACAAATCTATACTAAAGGTGGTTAAATGTTTTATGTGTATATTTTTCACATGCAAAAAGGACGTTTTTGCCTTTTGTTATTTTCAACAGAATAATTTGCATTGATGTTTACTTCTTTTAAGGACAGGTTACAAGAAACAAAAACCAAAAACAAAAAATTCCAGGATTTGTACATATTTTTGGACCTATTTTGGTTGTAAATGATGCAAATAATAATTTTTCAAAATATTAATTAACTGTATATTTTCTATGATGTTCAAAATTGTACCTATCTGCAACCATCCTGATTAATCTATATAACTTTTTGACGTGTTAAATCTCATTATTCTGACATTTTGAATAAAATATATAAAGATATGCGGTTAAACTTGTTCATTTTACTTATATAAACATGACAATAAAAATGCATCTTTGATTCAAAAGACATCTTTCGGGAAAAGGAGGGGATTTCTTTTAATTTTATCCAGACTAGGACTTGAACCTAGATATACCATAAGTTATGGTCGCTTTTCCTTAAGCTATCTGGATTTTAATTAAGAAATCACAACCTTTAATTTTATCAATTCATATTAAGTTAATATAGACTTAATGTTTTCCTAGTACATGATCTACTGTAGAAATCTATAAGAATCCGAATCAATGCAAGGAAGACAATAATAACCGGATATCTTTTATTTGCATTAGCATAATAAAACACTAATTATAAAAAAAAATATCTTTTCTAAGTTTAAACTACCAAATATACTGGAATTCAAGAAAATGAAATGATTGTGGTCAAAGAGGAGGTAACTCATAAAAGGTCATCCAGTTAACATTGTTAAATTGTAAAAAAAAAATCTTCCTTGTGGTGTGATCCTATATGAATTCTGAAGTTCTTTGTCTTATCGTATTAACCTATTTAGAAAACTGAACTGAGAATGAACAATTATGATGATGTGTCTTACTAACACAACTATCAATTGATAGAGTTTCAGATGTCAATTCTTCGTTATGTTTTAAAGCAGACATAGTTAATCCTGAACATGATATTTCTGAAGTAAATCTTAGAAGTATTAAGGACCCTCTTTACACTGCATCCTAATTTTAGGGTGCTTATGTGTAATTAGACAGACCCATAATTTGACACACAAAAAATAAATTATAATCTGCATTCTATGACATAATTTAAAATAAATTCAGTATTCTACACATTATATTAGACCAAGAGTAGTTGAAAACTTTATTTGCTTGGATTTTCTCCATTTGAAAAAGCAAAATCAATTTTTCAAGATTATTACTTCATTGTCTTTGAAGATTTTTCCAGGATAAAAAAGGCAGGCTCCCTATATTAAAAATGAATTAGTTAATTTCAAAATATTCTCCTTTAAACTATATAATTTTGGCAAAGTCTAAAAAACATTTTTCATCAGTGTATAGAAGGTCCTTAACTAACATATTTATATATTTTATTGCATACATTTGAATCGATTGTAAACAAATTTAAAAACATATAACTATTATTAAAATTCTTTCTCCTAGTTTTAAATTTAATCATACGTCTGCATGATAAAATTTACAATCAACTTATAATGGTTATTATTCTATAGTCAAATTAAAAAAAAAAGAAAGATCCACTTTCAATACTTTAAGTTTTACATTTTGAAATTCGCATCAGTTATTTATCATCTTATTACCATTTTTACCTGGCCCCAAGACAATAAACTGAATGATATTTTGATTCTTTATATCTTGAGTTTAAATTTTCAAATGTGTTTTAAAAAATTCTATATTTGTATAAAAGTCAGATACAAATATATGAAAAATATTGTTTGATTATCAAACTAATTTAAGAATGTATATTCATTTGAAATTTTGTCTTAAGTCTGTTCTCAGGTTATGTTCTTGGGGCCTGGACCAACAGTTGGTATTATTACTTACTTTTCAACAATAAGTGAATTGTTTCAACAAATCTTGGAATGATAATATTTGTGATAACAACATAAATCACTTATAAACTTACCTTGTTATATATAGTTGTCATTTCCAATATCAGTTTGTTATCCTAGCTCAAAAGTAGCTGTATATCCTTTAACATGTAAAACGTAAACAAAACAAATTTTATGATGATGTAAACAAATAAAAAAATCTTTCATTAAAGTTATTAAATGGAAGATGCCTAACACTCCTGAGCATTATCAATCCTGTAGTACATAGAAAAAACCTCACAACAAAGGATAACCTATGAATGAGCATGATGATGAAGTACAGATGTGCCTCTTTATGTAGATGCTTTACACACAGGAGTAAACACATTCCATTCCGTAGAATCATCAGATTTCAGAATTCACAACACAATAAACACTCATTTCAAGCACATTTTCACATCTTAGTAGTAAGACACTTGAGATCTCTCCATTCATTATGATTCTGTTTTAGAAAAACGGTCAGGGTCGACATTCTTTCTATTACATTCGATCACAAGTAAACAAAAACAAAGTTCATCTACACTGATAAAAAACAGGCTGAGGCTTTGATATCTAACGTGTCTTGAACTCCAGCTTAAGAATCACAAGTCATAATCGACGGACCTCGATGAAAGAAATCAAAATAGAACATATTCCCACTTATTTGATGTAATTTCAATAATTTACATCACCAAGCGATGTAGAACAGGACGCCATTTTTATTGCGTTGAAATATACGTTATGAGCATGCGCGTACATATATACAAACTGAAGGCAAAATTTGACACACCATTACAGAAAAAACCCTCTTATTTATTTAAATCAAACATTTAATAACTCATATTTTCACAAACAGCACAATCAATCCCCCTTTATGATTTGAAAACAGTATAAAGTACATATATACTCCATTTAAGAGAGAAATTTGCCAAAAACGAGCACCCGCACTCAAGTCGGTTGTTTATCTCACTTGGATATATACTCTAAAAAAGGGTACCTCTCTTTTCAAGAGTCTATCTCTGTCAAATCTTCACTGTCAATGATAACTTTTATATCAGTGTAAAGATAAAAGAACAATCTCCAACATACTAGAAACTCATTTCTTGATCTTTACAGGTTACGGAGTACGAGTGCTACAAAATATCGCTGCGACTTAGGTGCTGGTCGAAAACAGCACTTAATTCTCACCAGCACTTAACTCTGTAATTCAACCTACTTGAACAGCACCTAAGTTGGTCGAAGTATTGATATATATATATATATATATATATATATATATATATATATATATATATATATATATATATATATATATATATATGCAGTTGAACTTCGGTATCTCGAACACGGATATCTCGAATCTTATGGATATGTCGAAGTGTGATTTGGAAGTCCCAAGCACTTAATATTTTAAGTATTTTACTCCCAATATCTCGAACCCTCAGATAACTCGAAGTTTATTCTCGGTCCCATTGAGTTGGAGATAACGAGGTTTGACTGTATATATATATGCGTGAGGGTGTGTATGTGTGTGTGTGTGTTAGAGAAGGAAACAAGTTTTGTTTGCCTATATTTTTCCCTCCCAATAGAGATGGGCTGAAATGAGTGCTCTTGTTTAAGAATTTTGCTTGTTTAAACCAAAAACAATCATGTAAGTTTATACCTCAATTTAATTTGCTATTCTATATTATATAGCTATATAAACTTACCACGGAAGATGAATCTTAACCTGTCACCTTTAGAGCTTTGTGAATATTTAACTCTTGGAGTGAAGTAAATCATCATCAAGACTTCATATAAGTCCGACAAAGATTTATAAATAAATTTCTAGACATACATCATCAGTACATCTGCTTACTAAGGATTGATTTCAAGAGATAGACATAATGTACCCATTAAAGAATATTGTATGTACTGTAAAAAAAATATTTTTTTTTGGTGATAACTTTATTTTTGCATATTAGCGAGACTGTTTGTAGGGGAAAATTTCATTCACACATAATATTCCTCTTATAAAGATTATATAGGGCAGATACCAAAAGTTGTGAAAATTTTGTTTTGCTTGTAAATATCAAATAAAAGAAGCACACATTTTGCACCAAGCAAATTCCACTCCCCCTTTTCAACAAATTAAAGACTACTAAGTCATGTTCAGCATTCTTCATTGTACTTTTTTAATAAAAAAAAAATTTGTCGATTTTAGTGGTCTCTTCAGTCCTCCAGGATATTACCTTAGTTTGAAAAACTGCAATAATGGAAAGCTTATGGCAACACTGGAAGATGAGTATATTTTTTTTATTCATCCTTGTTGAAGAAAATGGAGAGGCATATTGTGTAATGTCACTCAGGGGTTATTTTTGTAACTAAATTGTTAACTTTTAAAGTAAACCATATGTCTCTTCATATCCATAATTTTATCATAATTCACGTCTGATTTTTTCTTGATTTGATTGATCTCCATAGACAACTTTATTCTTAATTATTTTCATTGTCTTTTGATTGATCTCCATAGACAACTTTATTCTTAATTATTTTCATTGTCTTTTAGGACAGGACAGAGATTGAATGAAGGAGTTAGATACTTTAAGGATGTATTGCTTGTAGAAGCAAGAATCATTATCGCTTCTGTTGTCAAGAACATAACATATAGAGAAGCTGAAGAACTTCTCTATCCATTGAAATAACAAATTTATGTTCCGGTTGATTGAGTTTGCAAATTTGATATATATTGGAATATTTCGATTGTGATAGCATTGCAAAAGATGTTCTACATCAATTGCTATATGACATGTTGAACAATATTTGTTTGCAGATTCTTTACAGTTATTATATATCACCATCTGATGAAATATTGTTATAATGTAAAATGGACTCTGTCAGGGCTCATGATCAATTGTACTTGGTTACTCTAGATGAACTCATAAACTCTAATAATTGTGATTTCATTCAAATCAAATCCACACCAGACCAAGCTGTTTTATCATTAATTCCTACTAGAAACATTAGTTTAAATGTAGGAAGAATTTGATAAAATTTGATGTAATTTGACTTTGAAAATATCTATTAAAGTTTTGTTTTTCTGACAAGTGAAATGAATTTCACATGCAGAATTCATACCATTGGATTTGGGTGTAATTTAAAAGGAACACTTGTGCAGCCATGCATTATTTCTTAAATAGTACCTGTAATACATTTGTATGGTCTTAATATTGTGTGGCCATTTTTTCCCCTAGGATTAATTGATCTACGTTATTTTTATCTTTAAGTTCCTCAGTGACTAAACCCAATTTGTATAAAAATTGGGAGCAGAGCTCTAGAAAAAAGCTTAACATTAGTTTATGTTCCAAATAATGATTGTGTCAAATAAATTATTTTCCTTACCACTTTTGTATATATGCCTTATATATGGAGACCAAATTATGCACATTAATTCATATTCAATGCTTGGGTTATGTTTCTCAGTGACTGGGTTATATTGTTCAGTGACTGGGTTATGTTCCTCAGTGACTGGGTTATGTTGTTGAGTGACTGGGTTATGTTGAACAGTGACTGGGTTATGTTCCTCAGTGACTGGGTTATGTTGAACAGTGACTGGGTTATGTTGTCCTGTGACTTGGTTATGTTGTTCTGTGACTGGGTTATGTTGTTCTGTGACCGGGTTATGCTGTTCTGTGACTGGGTTATGTTTCTCTGTGACTGGGTTATGTTGTTCAGTGACATGGTTATGTTGTTCAGTGACTGGGTTATGTTGTACAATGACTTGGTTGTGATATACAGTGACTGGGTTATGTTAAACAGTGACTGGGTTATGTTGTTCAGTGACTGGGTTATGTTCCTCAGTGACTGGCTTATGTTAAACAGTGACATGGTTATGTTAAACAGTGACTGGGTTATGTTAAACAGTGACATGGTTATGTTGTTCAGTGAATGGGTTATGTTAAACAGTGACTGTGCTATGTTGTTTATTGACTGGGTTATGTTGAACAGTGACTGGGTTATGTTGTTCAGTGACTGGGTTATGTTGTTCAGTGACTGGGTTATGTTAAACAGTGACTGGGTTATGTTGTTCAGTGACTGGGTTATGTTAAACAGTGACTGGGTTTTGTTGTTCAGTGACTGGGTTATGTTAAACAGTGACTGGGTTATGTTGTTTATTGACTGGGTTATGTTAAACAGTGACTGGGTTATGTTAAACAGTGGCTGGGATTTGTTGTTCAGTGACTGGGTTATGTTTCTCTGTGACTGGGTTATGTTGAACTGTGACTGGGTTATGTTGAACTGTGACTGGGTTAGGTTTCCCAATGATGGGTTTTGTTGTACAGTAACTGGGTTATGTTTCTCAGACTGGGTTATGTTGCGCAGGGACTGGTTTATGTTGCTCAGAGACTGAGTTATGTTGTTCAGTGACTGGGTAATATTGTTCAGTGACTGGGTTATATATCTCTGTGACTAGGCTTTGTTGTTGACTGAATTATGTTTCTCTGTGACTGGATAATGTTGTTCAAAAACTAAGTTATGTTTCTCAGTGACAGTTTTATGTTGTACAGTAACTGGGTTATGTTTCTCTCTGGGTTATGTTGTTGAGAGACTGGGTTATGTTGCTCGGTGACTGGGTAATGATTTTCAGTGACTGGGTAATGTTATTCAGGGACTGGGATTTGGTTCTCAGTAACTGGGTTATATTTTTCAGTGACTGGGTTATGCTGTTGAGAGACTGGGTTATGTTGAACTGTGACTGGGTAAGGTTTCCCAGTGACTGGGTTTTGTTGTACAGTGACTGGGTTATGTTAAACAGTGACATGGTTATGTTGTTCAGCGACTGGGTTATGTTATTCAGGGACTGGGATTTCGTTCTCAGTAACTGGGTTATATTTTTCAGTGACTGGGTTATGCTGTTAAGCCTGGGTTATGTTGAACTGTGACTGGGTTAGGTTTCCCAGTGACTGGGTTTTGTTGTACAGTGACTGGGTTATGTTGTTCAGTGACTGGGTTATGTTAAACAGTGACTGGGTTATGTTATTCAGTGACTGGGTTATGTTGTTCAGTGACTGGGTTATGTTCCTCAGTGACTGGCTTATGTTAAACAGTGACATGGTTATGTTGTTCAGCGACTGGGTTATGTTATTCAGGGACTGGGATTTCGTTCTCAGTAACTGGGTTATATTTTTCAGTGACTGGGTTATGCTGTTAAGCCTGGGTTATGTTGAACTGTGACTGGGTTAGGTTTCCCAGTGACTGGGTTTTGTTGTACAGTGACTGGGTTATGTTGTTCAGTGACTGGGTTATGTTAAACAGTGACTGGGTTATGTTATTCAGTGACTGGGTTATGTTGTTCAGTGACTGGGTTATGTTCCTCAGTGACTGGCTTATGTTAAACAGTGACATGGTTATGTTGTTCAGTGACTGGGTTATGTTTAACAGTGGCTGGGTTAAGTGGAAGGTTGACTGGGTTATTTTAAACAGTGACTGGGTTATGTTGTATAGTGACTGGGTTATGTTAAACAGTGACTGGGTTATGTTAAACAGTGACTGTGTTATGTTCCTCAGTGACTGGGTTATGTTGTATATTGACTGGGTTATGTTAAACAGTGACTGTGTTATGTTGCTCAGTGACTGGGTTATGTTCCTCAGTGAGTGGGTTATGTTGAACAGTGACTGGGTTTTGTTTTTCAGTGACTGGGTTATGTTTCTCTGTGACTAGGTTATGTTGAACAGTGACTCGGTTAGGTTTCCCAATGATTGTTTTTGTTGTACATTAACTGGGTTATGTTTCTCAGTGACTGGGTTATGTTCCCCTCTGATTAGGTTATGTTGCACAGGGACTGGTTTATGTTGCTCGGAGACTGAGTTATGTTTTTCAGTGACTGGGTACTATTTTTCAGTGACTGGGTTATATATCTCTGTGACTAGGCTTTGTTGTTGAGTGACTGGATTATGTTTCTCTGTGACTGGGTAATGTTGTTCAAAAACTAAGTTATGTTTCTAAGTGACAGGGTTATGTTGTACAGTGACTGGGTTATGTTTCTCTCTGGGTTATGTTGTTGAGAGACTGGGTTATGTTGCTCGGTGACTGGGTAATGATTTTCAGTGACTGGGTAATGTTATTCAGGGACTGGGATTTGGTTCTCAGTAACTGGGTTATATTTTTCAGTGACTGGGTTATGCTGTTGAGAGACTGGGTTATGTTGAACTGTGACTGGGTTAGGTTTCCCAGTGACTGGGTTTTGTTGTACAGTGACTGGGTTATGTTGTTCAGTGACTGGGTTATGTTAAACAGTGACTGGGTTTTGTTGTACAGTGACTGGGTTATGTTGTTCAGTGACTGGGTTTTGTTAAACAGTGACTTGGTTTTGTTAAACAGTGACTAGGTTATGTTGTTTCATTTAAGCTCGCAATTGAGAAAGAAAAAGAAAAAAAGAGAAAGAAAAGCTAGAACAGTGCAGTTTTGAGGGATTCACTTGTAACATATTGAAGTGATTGCCAAAAAAAAAAAATTAAAATATTAAAACCCATTTTTGCCTGAAAGTTTTATAGTCAGTAAGTTTTTATCATCTTTTACAGTGTATTTCAAAGCTGTAAAATAGGATTTAAATAAATATAGAAAACCATGAATATCGACTAAATTATGTGTGTTCATTATCTCACAGTTGAACAGTGAATTGGTTATGTTATTGATTGGGTATAATATGTTGAACAGTGACTAGGTTAGGCTTTCCAGTGACTGAGTAAAGTTTCACAGTGACTAGGTTATGTTGTTCAAAGACTAGATTATATTGATGTGTAACTGGGAAATTTTTTTCTGTGACCTAATGACTATAAACCAGGGTCATATTAAAGAATCATCACTTCTTGTAAAACTGCAAGTCAACAAATTAGGGATTTTTGTTTTTTCACTGTATGTGATTTTCTTTATGGGCGGGATTCCTTTTACCCTCGGAAGATTAGCGTAAGAAATAATTATTGAGAAATTCAAGTCTTTTCTGCTGTGCATACACTAGATGGCATACACACATGCTAACTAGGTCACTAGTTCTACCAGTGGCTAAACGCAATCTATTAATTTATCATGTTATAACTATCAAATACCCTAACCTTCGTGAAAGTCGTTCATTCGCCTAAATGTCTTAATATTAAGACTCCGATTATGGCTATTGATCGTATTATTTACCACACACCATAGTGTTTACAAAACCATATTGCATCGGGATCGAATATGCGTTATATTACAAAAAACCATACCGGAAATAATTTTCCCGAAAACCGTGACTGGGTTAACTGTAAACATTTTAGAAAACATATTGAAAGTATTGTATGCATTAATGATTATGAAGCAAAACTGTTTGCAGCTGCTTACAGTGTGGCCTTTTTTGGGTATTTTAGAGTGGGTGAAATCACTGAAGGGAAAAAAACAAACTGCAGGTCATGTTGTCCAGTATGAAAACCTTGAAATGTTAATTAATGAAAATATTATGAAAATTTATCTCCAGCACTCCAAAGCTGACCAAAGGGGAAAGGGGGCAACAATTGTTATAGAAAATAGTCAAGCAATGACCAGCATAGAGCCAGTGGATATTATGGCAAGCTACTTAAGAGTAAGACCAATCAAGCAAGGGAACTTGTTTTGTCATTTTGGGGGTCAAGCACTCACACGTATTCAGTTCACAACAGTTTTAAACAAAGCTTTAAAGGCAGTAGGATTAGACAGTAGTAGATATAAATCACATTCATTCAGAATAGGGGCAGCCACTAATTCGGCAATGTTAGGTATGTCTGAAGATCAAATCTGTAAAGCTGGTAGGTGGAAATCAAATTCTTACAAATTGTACATCAGAATCTAATGATTATGTTTGCTTTACCCTGAATTTAAAAATCATGACTGACTAAAATGTTATTTCAGAGTTTCAGGGGTCCTCAATAGTCAGAAGAGCATTTGTTGCAGCCAGGAGTAGGCCAGGTGGAGTATGCCTAGGACTTCAAAGGCTGAGTATAAATATGTGGTGGCGAGGAAAAGGGGTATGGTATGGTCAGAGTTGTATAACAAAATTAAGTCCTTGTTGAAAGTAAATGACAGTCTACATTACATAATTTTACATTGTGGTGGTAATGACGTGGGTAACATCTCTTTGAGAATTCTTATTCAAATCATTAAAAGTACTCGGGGGAAAATTCAATCATTATTACCCAATACAAAGATAATTTGGTCTCAGTTGCTACCAAGGAGAAACTGGAGATATTCAGAAAATATTGATGCAATGAACAAAGCTTTAAAAAGGTTGAATAGCTCCATTGCAGCAGCAGTTGTAAAGAATGGGGGAG